TATGTCATACTCTAGCCTTGTAAAGTATTTTATAGAGTACCGAGTTGCAAGTCCTCGTAAAATAAATGTAATAACATGCTGTAAAACAACGAACCACCACAGCCTCACAGATTCTCAGATTTTATAAACGGTCCTCGCTGCTTTAGTGTTAAGATCTGCAATTCAGTTGTTGTAAGTTTGATACTGACTGTAAGGTGTTATAAGATTAACACAGGAAGTAATATTTGTGTATATTTTTGGTACTCATTGAAAAGCGAGTCATAGTATTTTATGTGTATCAATAAAATTTTTATGAGGTGTATTTGATTATGTATTAATGCTCCCTTAATAAAAAAGACTCTTGGCATTTCAAAGTGTCTTGACCCACGTGTCTATCATTTAATAAAATAATAATAATAATAAGTATGGGAACATGGGCACTGAACAAGGTGGCGACGACTATGTGGAATGACTGATGGTAATAAAGCGGATGTTGCTACGTCACTTTACAATAAAATAACAAAAAGGTTCAAGACCGAATAGATCATTTGTGTGAAGAGAGATTAAACTCAATTCATTGCATCGTTCTTGCTGATTTGAGAAAATAATTTGAGTGAGAAAACAATGTTGTATAATGTTATTTGTCGACAAGTTGTCACTGAGAGCTCATCTGTTACAATATTGGTCAAGATTGTAATATGCGTTCCCATCTGTGGCCACACACTTGAACATATCTAAGAATGTGCCTATAAAGGCATGTTTGGCATTGTGTTTTTTTGTATGCACATCGGAGAGTGAGTCGTCAGTGCTAGAGAAAAAAATGCAAACAATAGCCTAATATAATTTTTAGACTTGTGGAAAGTGGATTACATACAGGAATTAAGAAAATGTTTGTTTTGTTTGTCAGTGACGTCCGTAAGATTTTTTTTGCAAAGCAAAAGTGCAAAGCAAGTAAGAATTCAATGGCTTTTTTGTCGATCAAAACATATTTTTTCAAATAAATATCAATTGACATGTAGGCCTATTTGTAAATTTGTTTGTATTTGCTAATTTGTCTTTGAATATAAGTACAAAAATACATTTATAAAATGACATATATTCAGGCCCAAACACGGACTATATTTTAACATAAGATCATATTTTAAATGACATTGTTTTGCTCATATATTTTACAAACGGGGTTTTAATTAGCGAAAGTGTACAAATCCAAGGATATGTTCTCTTGTGCGTGTGTGTGTGTGTGTTTGGGGGTGTATTGGGTAATGTAATTTGGTCTTTATTAAACTGTGGTTTAGAAACTTTATTATACCAAATATTACAACAAACACTATTATGACATATTATGAATTTATTGTCCACTGACCACATGCCACAAACATGCACTGATACAGACATTTAAACACCTAGTATACAGAAACCTTTATACGTAATTATTTCAGATAAATGTACGTTTTCACTGGAGAAAGAATGGGTGACCTTTACTTTCAAATGTGCTTTCATGTCCTTTTTTTGGCGCAAATGTTTCTGCGACATTTTTGCTCTGTCCCTGCTGAAATCAAACCGCTGGGAACAGTCTTGTTTCGATTTTATTATATACGTTAAGACCTAACACCACTTTTATACCCTGTGAAACATATTGAAATACACAAGGCTTCACATTTCAAATGCAATCAAATATGTAGCAACAAATGATAAAGATTTAGCAACGATCACAACACTGGAACGTGAAAGTAGCCAAAACAATGCACACTGCCCTCATGTCAATATTATACAGGAGAACACAGATGGACCGAAACGGGGAGGTAAGTTTTTGAAATGCTCTTGTTTGCATGCTCACGAAAAAGTGAGATTGGATGTGAGTTCACGAATACGGTTTTCTCTACTCATCTTCTTAAGTTTCATCCTGCGGTTTTGGAACCAGATTTTCACTTGTCTGTCAGTGAGGTTGACGCTTTTGCTTATCTCTAGACGGCGCTCCCGAGTCAGGTACATGTTGAATAAAAACTCTTTTTCTAATTCCAAGGTCTGGTGCTTTGTGTACGGACATCTTTTTTTCCTTCCACTCTTCGCGGTTAACCAGTTGCTCGTCGGTGTGTCGTTTTTAGACTCTGCAAAACAAAAAGACAGTGAGCCAACAGCAAAACAAAAAAGGGAAATTAAGACCCTTTCTTTCTACATGAGAAAAAATAGACAGCATGCTTGTTAAAACAGTTATCATAATTAAACCTATACCTACAGATCATTAGAATTAACTGAGTCAAAATAGCTGTAATAGCCCATGTGGCCTCTTTTGGTCTTTCAGCACATAATGACAATTCAAGTGTTGACTATATCCCTACAGCGTATTTTTACTGAATTTTTATTATTATTTTTTTTCTGAGGTTTACATTTAGTCTTTTTAATAAGTTAAATTACTCCTTATAACCAATGTATTTTTTCTATAGGCAATTTTGTATATTTAACTTACTGCACCAGAAATCTGATTTTGCCAAGCTATACTAACCATGCTGCAGTTAGTAACAAATAAATGTCAATGAATGGTTCCTACATTAAAAGTACATTCATTTTCCTGCTGAATAGATAAAGTTGCAAATACATTTCACCAAGACTGTGCTTATATTGACCACAGTCACTTACAACAAAAGGTATTTGATGTTAACGCGCCCTCGCAGCGCGGTTTCCTGTTAAGGCTTTTTACTGCAACCTGAGTAAGACTCCCATTAAACATTACGACTTTCGGGTTGTTTGTGTTTTATATTGGGTTTTATGATGCCGGTGCGTTCGCATTACACCAAGACGCGATTAATCCGTTTACTGTACCCACCTTTGCCTTCTCTTTGTGGCAATTCAGGGCTGGAGACAGACGCCTCAGTTGAGCAATTCTTCTCCTCCAGCGTGCTGACTTTGGGCTCTGGACTCCGCGCCGGGGAAGAGCTCCTTGTGTCCCGATCGTGCGGAAGCTTCTTTTCCACCTCGACAAAGGGCGTTGACTGCGCTTTTGGAGTTACCCTGTTCAGCTGCATTAACGTAGTGCTCGGGCTCATCGTCTCGCTGTCAAAGTCCGGGTTTTTCGCCGTCGCATAAGTTTGACTTAGTCTAAAATATCCAGGGACAGGAATCTCGGGACTATCAACGGAACATGTTTCGGGAATCAGGTTGGAGTACGCGGGTATCTCGGACGAACTGACCTTTGCTCTCTTGTCGGAATACATACAACAGTTAGTTTCTTCTTTTATGCTTTGTGAAAATGTGCAGGTGGACATCTGGTTGAGCGGTTGCTCTAATCGGCAGGACCTGGTTGGATCTGCCCAGTTATCAGTTTGAGGTATGTACGAGTGGACGTTCATGCCCATGTTTTGGTGGTTTACTTCCCCCCGTTTGCCAAGAGACGGCAGGAGTCCACAGGTTTGCATTCCATAGGTTCCCATTTCTGCAGTGGCTGGCATGTACATGTTACTGCTGGAATAAAAATCTGTTCTGCACTCCCCAATCAAGGAATCTACCAAAAACGTGTTTGCAGCAGGAGAGCTGTTGGGAAAGGACATTTTGGAGAGTATTTTTTAAAGAAGCTGAGAAGTGTCCTCTGTAAGCTGACATATCTAGCAAAACAATCCCTGTATAACCCAGAGAGTCTCTCTGCAACCACATGACACTCTCACCAATGAAATTTGAAAATGGCCTTGAGACGTAGGCTCTTCCCCGTCACGTGGGCGCATTGACACGCGATTTGAAGTTGTAGACGTGGTCAACAGCGACACCTAGAACAAGGACTTGAAATTGGTTTCAAGACGGTCAAAATAACATTGTTAAATCCATTTTCATATATGCAACATATGCAATTAAGACAAAATGTGACGAAATTGGATTGATATAGACTATACTGTTGAACAAAGAGCGAGAACCAGGAAAATAAATGACAGCATTAAGCACAGTCTATTTTGTATTCCTTTTAACTCCAATTCAAGGTCAAGAAAAGAAATGTCGGCAGACACAGCAGAAGGAATTTCTCGTAGTTCACAGTTTCACTATAGGCAAAATGCAGAGGACAATGCAGAGCAAAATGAGGCGGCGGACGTGGGCCTAAACACCGTTAACTGCATACTGGATTAAGGGTGAAAAGCAAAATTGTGATTCAACTTTTCTGTTTGCTTTTATCATTATTTATATTTTAATCTACACAATTGATGTTGCCTGTCTGCAAAGGACATTTCAATGTGATTACTATTTAATAATTCATGTAATAGGCTACCATGTTTGTTGTTTGTTGTTATTTTCTAAATTAAATAAAAGAAACCTTGTACTTGTTACATCAGAATTATATGTCAGCCAGACATATAATTCGTTTTTCATCACGTTATCATTCAACTTATCATTATAAAGATGTGAGGTAGGCTATTTGTTTAAAATATATAGCGCTTGTCAAAGGTATAAATTAATTTTCATGAAATTTGAGTAATTAATGCAGTTCTTTTAAATGTACAGAGTGAAAAGGTGTTTTTTATTGAAATAAATACATTTATATGATCGTGTATCTTGTAAAACAATATAGCGTTTTAAACGTATTTACACTTTGCTTTTAAAATACTTACATCTTTATTCAGCAATAACATGTTATATGCAACATTATCAATTTGTAACTAAATATGCAAATACGTTTGCAGAATTAAACAGCATTTACAAAGGTTATCAAATTATGTCTGCTTCAGAACTTGATACAATGCAAATACGCACGCAGAATAAAATGCCATCTTTGCCGCTGAATTAATCATGGGAAGTGTGTTTATTACAGGTATATAATCTATTGTCACAAGGAATACTATTGTCGTTATACATAAAATACTAAAATATAAAAATAGCTATACGGAGTTATGAACTTGTCTATATAGAAATCTTATCATACAATGATTTTAGATTAATGAACAATCACGCACAATTTCTTTATATAATTTTAATAAAATGCACGCATACACGCGCTAAATAAATGGTTTTCCTATAACACATTTATGTAAATTAAGTTAAAATTAGTAAACACTGTCAGTACAAACAAAAAATACAGAATAACTATAGAAAAATACAGAATCAGACTGACATCTGAAAACCAAACATAATCACCAAGCAGTTACACAATTTTCATATTTGAAAGTATACAGCTTTCATAATCACATATGTCAAATTATTATACTACTATGCGAAATGCATAATTGATCTCTGTTATGAATTTAAAGTAAATACATTAACACTATAATTCTTCGACAACGGGTTTGTTTATGTAATTTCTTGGTTCACCCTTAAATAGATGAACTTAATAATAAAAAAGTCCTGATTAATAAGAGGATGCCGTAGAGATGCGTAGGCTACAGTTTAATAATTTCCTAAATAAGTAGTGGACTGCAGCTACGTTATGCTATAATCCATGTATCATTAGGAGTATTTCATTTTTTTCATTGTACACGCAAGTCTGTCGTCCACCGGGAAACTTTATCAAATATATTATAAAACTAAAAGCTGGTGAAGCCCTTAAAAATCGATCTGCTACGTTGTAATGGGCTATGCTTGCTATATTAAGAATGATATAACAACGACGACGACAGACATTAATTATTATTTTTAATATTATTTGGCTATTATTATTATTATTATTATTATTATTATTATATAGCTGTTCTGTTTATGTATGATCTCTTTATTGAACGGGACGTTTCCCAAAAAAGGGACTGTGCCACCAAATGTTAAAGCGTGTAAAAGGCGCTGAGCAGATGTTTAATTGTCTCCCCAACTGCAGAGAAAGATATCCTCCGTACGCGACTAAAATATATTTTCCGGGTTTTCAGGTTATTTTTTCAGGTTATTCTGAAATATAATGCTAGAGCACAAATATAATTAACGATAAGAGTGAGTAGCAATACTAACTTATTGCCATTAACAGTACACGGGCGTAAAAACATTATATTAGATCTCATAACTCCGCTCAGAAATCATTGTTTTGAAGAACAACTAAACTTGAATCACGCACAGCACCAGGTCAGATCATTGCTGTAAGTTCGCCCTCTCGTGGCTTCAAGCAGTATCAACGAAATGTAAATAATCAAAGGGATGTCTATTTTAAGATTCCTTATTATGACATGCAATATATTATAAAACACACAACAATATTGGAGTGAATTGGATATACTGTACACACGGCTAAAACATTTAGGAAACTCACATCTAGGAAACAAAAGTAGCTTGTAGGATCCTGCGTTTGCCTAGCACTACAGAAGTCAGTTTTGTTTTTCCAGTAGGCCTATATTCTGCAACCACAGAAGTTGCCGCTCCATAATGTCTACTGATGAGATAAAAATCAACAAATAATGTCTGCACCAAGAGTCTTTTGTAAGCTTTTTGGTTATTTAAGCATAGTCTTAAGAAAACACCACCGAAACACTTGTAGTAGCCTTATATTACTGCATTGTTACCCTTGCCTAAATCTTAGTTATGCAAGAAAAACATTAAGGAGTAAGTGATAAGGTTGTATTTATATGGTTTTATTTTACAGCATATCACCTAGCCAAACGGCGTCTATGTGGAGTTGCCTATAGTATTTAACCTAGCCAGTAAGAGGTAACTGTATGTGTATAGAGGCCTTTAAAGGCAGGTCAGTGTGTTGCCAGTGGGAGCGAGTGGATGCAGCGGCCATATTGGGCCGTGCTGCACTGCGGCGCCTCTGAGAGGGCGTAGTTTTTCAAAGAGAACCTCAAAAAGGCGCCTTTACTTATTCAAAAAGGTTAAGGGTGACGACCTTGACATTACAGAAGTTCAAATGCAATATTTCATATGATGTTTTAAATTTGTTGACGACATCTAACTTTGTAACTTTGTTACTGTAAGTCTTCACGTGCTACATTGACGTAAACAGCCCCGTAAAAGCTTGTAGAAATTCGGTGATGTGTATGTAATGCGTAGGATTTCAGTTCGAGGACTAGGCCTCTTTTGCAACATAGCCAAACTCTTAATATTATATTTTCACTTTTATTTGTTCACATACTGAGTTCATATCTTCCTAGACAGAAAAACAAAACATCTGCACCCTTTGTGTTTCAGGGCAAAGTCGCAGTTGAAGTGGATAGTGGGTCCAATAGCCCCAATTTAATTTACTGCCCAGAGTTTATTGTACTGTCTAGACTGTTCAAGGTTTAGTAAATAGCCTTAGTGTAAAACAACATACAAGGAAAGGAATTAGTCAAAGACTTATAAAGTTACCAATGGAAATAGTTCTCTCTCTACCTCACGTTTATTCTTCCTCTAATAATCAAAATCAGCCTTCGTCTGAAAAATAAGTAGGCCTATAAGTTTGAAATGCAACTCTGTTAAAAAAACTTAAATAATGTTATTTAATAACAACAAATGACTGTTAAATAACAAATTTTGTTGCTGACTTAGACGCGTAGGTCTACCATCACACACAAGAGGCGTCACAGCAATAGATAGAAATCTGCTGTATTTTTTTCTTTATTTAATACGTAGATACATTACATGCTTCAAACGAATAAATGCATACACAGTTCTACCTCGATGCAATTACGTACTTGTTTGATGTAACCAAACGCATTGCTGACAATGCAGTGTGTTACTTGAATGCACTTCGAGGAACAATGAAAAACACAATAAATAAATACAAATACAAAGCTACTGCATTTCAATGGCATTAAACATAGTATGAAGAGATTGTCGAGCACCTATGTTCCTGATAACTGATAATTTCCCTCATCGCGAATACACTGTTGTAGATCATTTGTGCAGAATTTTAATCGCAGATCACATTCATTTTTGATAGCAAGTATTTTGCATAGTTGTAAAATACAGAGTTGACGTGAAAATAGCCCAGGTGTCCGGCGAATGGATGATGTCCCACAATTATGACATAATAGAATAGCCATCGTTTCATCGTCTCGGCCAATAGCATGCCTTTCAGAACAATGGATTTCCAGTGAAATACTGGAGACGATCTCGGTTCACCTTTTTCTCTTTCATCCTTCGGTTCTGGAACCAAATCTTCACTTGTCGGTCTGTAAGACTGAGCATTCTTGACAAATGCAGACGTTTCTCTTTGTTTATGTACACATTGAAAAAGAATTCTCGTTCAAGTTCTCGGATCTGGTATTTCGAATATGGGCATCTCTTTTTTCTGGACTTTGTTGTACCTATAAAAAGAGAAGTAACTTGATTACATTACAATAAATTTAAAGGCTAACTCAGTTGCAATACAACTGCAGATGCTTCATGAGTTGACATTAAAAGTTCGAGTACATCCGATACTTCAGATACTAATGCCAAATCTGTATCGAGACTATTGTGTAATTCACACTGCAGTTACAAAGACAAAACAATCGGAAAAACTAAAGTATGTACACATAGACTATAAAACAATACAAGATCTGCCACATGAAAGCATGCAACCGGCCCACACGCTCACGCACACACACTTAATGTAGAAACGCAGAGTAATCCGTATGTGTGTTTTCAGTTCGATTAAAGTGTTTCTCTTCTATGTTAAAAAATATTTTGTGATAATGAAACGAATTACTACTGAAGCAAGCAACAGACTTGATATTTTTAAAACACGTGCTTTCTCGATTACATTTCGTATAGCCTATTTAGATGTATAATGATCCGACGAAAGCGCCTTCCACATCGTAAAGATTTTTACAACAGCAAAGAGAATCTTACTAGCTATATAAAAAAACTTTTGCATGCTTATAAAGCGGCACATAAAAGCTAACCGATAAAGTAATGTGAATTGAACCGCCGATAAAAGCGTGGACCTACTTGAGCCGTTGTTCTTTTCTTCATCGCAGGTTGATATTGAGGAATCCTCCTCCACGGTTACTGTAGGGTCTTGTTTGGTCTGTTCCGCGCTATCTGTGGACACATTACATGCAGCATCTCCGGGGACACTCGTATCTGGTTTTTGTTTGGACTGCTCAGGGTTGGGCTTCTCAGAG